AAAGAAAAAATTCATTAGCATTTTTGATGTACCTCTTCACAAGCAGAGTTTACAGTGTTTAAGCTTTTTTTGAAATCTGAAACCTGAGAAAAAGGCCAAACTTAGATATCCGAGGGGGAACATGTTGCTATTTATAAAAGATCCATCATGTCCAAAAAACCTGAATGTTGAATTGAATCTTAAATAAGAAAACCCTCAATTTAGATTCCACTCGGGGCACCTTCATCAGCTCCAAGAAGAACTAGAAGATGGAAGGAGAAGTAAGAACGTGTAACAATGTTAAAAATAATAAAAACGTTGTTCGCTTAAAGAAGGGAAAACAAAATGCAAGAATCAAGATCTGTGGATCATCCCCCTAAGTTTGCTGTCAAGAAATCCTCGTTACTGCAGACAAAATTTAGTGGAAATTTCTAGCAAATAGAATATGCTTCTTCAAAAACTCAAAGATATATTTCTCAATGTTAGGTAGGCAATATGAATACATATTTGGGAATTACTTAATACACAATATTAACACACAATACATGTGTGTAAGGTATGTGTAATTTTCTGGAAAGTAGATAATAAATACACCTATATCTCATTTGCACAAAGAAATGCTTGTTTTAGGTGGTTCACATATAGAGTTTTATTCAAATTCAAGCTCATTTTATGCATTTGGAGAGGCCAATACATCAACCAACATCCATGAATAGAATCTACTTAAAAAAAAAAATCTACTGAAAATCCATTCATCAGGCTGATCCCAGTTTTGTTGATGCCCATGTCTTGTCTTTTCGATTTAGTCTTTCTCACAGCAAGAGTATGTATTATGTAACATACCTTGGTGTCGTTCAGTATGATCTTAAGATAGAAGCAAACCACATCAGAACAGTGTAGACTAAAAAGCAAAAAAAATCCTAATTTCTTATGGAACACCTAGTCTCCAACCCTATCATAGTTCTAGGAACATAATTGTTGACTACAGTCATATAGTATGATTCACGAGCAAATCATACCACGGTCAAGGGTTATTGAAAATCAGTTACTTCCCATTGTTGACCAAAATAACAATACCAAAAATTTTTAAACGTCAGCCTGGAAAACCATGCTTCACATCTCTAACATACAGTAAACATCTGACTGGATTGCTTGAATCAAAATAATACCAAGGGAACTCGTGAGCCTACTGTGTTGAGGGAAACCTGCTCTGCATGAAAATGGAAAGTGCACTTTGGGCTTGATATACTTCAAGGTAAATTATGTTAAAGACTGACTTAACTTGAGCAAAGCTAGATCTTGATGCCAAACAGCATCTGCAGTAGATTCCTAAGCCAGACTCCCAAGTTTCTCCTTGGAGTAATAAGAACATGACCTTAATTTTTTGTTCAAAAAATGATTTCTTTCATCTACCATTTCCTTCACCCCATTGAAGCAAGTCAATATACTGTAGAATTGCTCCAAAAGAGACACATGAACATCTAGAAAGATCAAATAAAGGAATTAAAGACTGCAATTCTTGTGCATGCTCGCCTATCAACAATGACCAGAAAAAAATGCAAAACAATTGCCTCAATTTGGAACATTTATTTCTTTCTAAACTGAACAACTCTTTCCTCCGTTTCCTCTTTCTCCTCGTAATATAATAAACTCTCCAGCCTCTTAACTGTGACTTTTACTTCACAAATTCAAGTTCTCGACCAAGCATTCATCCAGTTATCTTAAATAAACATCATTAACTGTGATAATTGCAAGGTCTATAAAAAGAATGACAATAAGCAGGAAACCTCATGGTTAGAAACAAGCTTTCCATGTCTTACCAATTCTTTCTTTTTGTGGTTTTCCACAAAATAATCCCTTCAAGAAATGGCCTAGGTCAACCAGACTCAAAAACATTTTCAACCAGCAATAGTTGAACTTCCATATAAACCTTAATTAGCTGCTTCTCTAGTCAAAAGCACTGATATTTCTTATTCAACCAGATTAACCGCCTTCAATGAAAGAAAATTCATTGGCAAACAACATAACTTCAATCTATTTCAGTTCCATCAAAAGAGACGAACCCATATCCTCTCACATTCCCTTCAATAACAGTACTCTATTCCCTTAAGTAACAGCAGTTTATGTGATCAATAATCACATCACATTTCATCCAAGAGCCTAAAATGACTTCCAATAAAGGACTGTGCTTCAGCCAACATAGGAAAATCATGGCATGGCATGTAACAGGACTTGTTTGGCAGCAAACAGTCCAAAAGCATGTGCTGTGGGAAAAGTGACATTACTCCATAGGCATAAACCTTGAATTGAGGCCACACTTGCATGAGAAAAGCTAGTTTTCTGCAGCTTCTAATATCGCGCTTCCCAGCTGATGTCCTGGTAATAAGCTTTTATCCTATGTTGGAACAACATATTTATAACATGAAATCCTGATAAGAAACCATGTTATGAGAAGTTTGGTAAATATTCTGAGGAATGCTTGTTGTCGTGTCTGATATTTTGGATACTGTTTGGAATCAAATATCAGAATTTTGACTGGAGAAGAGGCAAGGCCACATGGGAATGTTGATGCAATTTGGTGCATTGGGAAAGAGAAAAATGTGTTAGTATGTTTAGAACCAAGTTACACTTGTCCGTTTATCAGAGACCACATATATTTCATGGATTTTTCTGTGGTTCATGTCTTGGAATGCTTTTAATGGGTTTGGGATGCAGGACCTCTCTTCATATTTTGGGTACTATGGAAAAGAAAGAAATGGACGAGTGCTCCACGGTATTGAGAAGATAGTTCATGTATTCAATGAAATTTGCTAGAATTCATTTTGTTGTATTGTAAGTCTCGATTTCTATTATGCTTTCTTCATTGTTGAATAGGAATCTAAAATGTATATAGCTGAATAGTTGCAAATGTGTGGATTTTGACCTCCTTGGTGCACAGGCAATGGAATTTTCAAGCATAAAAAATCAAAGATTAAGAACAGAATACACAAGTATAAAGATATCAATGCAGTACTAGCACATACCTACAGAATCTAAAGCATTTTCTTATCTGAGTAGATGAAAAAACAAGTAATGGCCCAAACAATGTTTCAACAGCTTTCAAGGTATTTCCAGAAAACAATAAAAAGAACCGTTCTTGTACCAATGTCAATATTGTCCCTTCATAGTGGAGAAGGAATGTGATCTCCAATCTAGGTTTACAGCTACATCTTATTGTTAAAATACATTAAAATCATCAATACTAGATGAAAAAATGATTAGCTTCAATGAGTAAAATCGCTGAATGCATTCATATCCCAAAAGAACAAATGTCATCAACAAAATAGCATAAATTATGATCCAGTTCACAGACCTGTTCACACTTCCCCAATTTCTCCCTGTCACCTGTGTATCCCTAAATAATTCATAATGAGTGAAATCAATTAGAAGGGACTTTTTTGCACCTTGGGAAAATTATAGACCTCATAATCTTTGAGCAAATGAAGCTTCACCTTTAGAAGTTCCATCTCATCTTTAGTAGGACAGAATTTTATGAGATTTTCCACTTGATCAGCATCTAAAATTGATTCGTCCATTGCAAGTGCTGCGGCCTATCAACATAGATATCAAGTGCTGTCATTTATATAAAGGGAAATCAAGCAATAATGTAGAAGATTAAGTAAAGCACTTGGACGGCATAACAACTTCACTATAGATTCTTGGTAAACATGTAAAAAATCTTCACTGAAGACTAGAAAAAGATTTGATGCAGCAGCACAGGCTTCCCAGAACTAATCTGGCCAAATAAAAGCATTTGGCTTCTGTTGGAAAACATGGTGCCAGAAGATCTGATTTTATTTCTATATATTTAATGCTTTCCTAATTTAGTTTAGCCGTAGCTGTTAGAAGTATTTTATCCTTGATTGTAGAAATATAATTAGCTAGGATCCTTGTTCAAATAGTCCAGTCACCTCTCACGTTACATATATTACAGTGCATATATTCAGAAAATTAAGGTGAATGAAGTTCCAATTCTGAGAACCTAAATTTACACAGTTTGTTCTCTTAGCGTCGTCTGATTATGGAAGATCCGTTGCTTACTCTTATGTTCCTTTGAAGAAATATGAGCCAGGCATGCAGTTCATTAAGGGTGCCGTCATCTTTTTCCCCATTTATGGAAACAAGCTTTCCATGCTGTATAAGTACTCTGACATCATCACTGTAACAACTATTCAGCTAGTATATCACAAGCATATCTGACTTTTTAGCTCTCTTGGTGTCTTCTATTCTTCTCTTATCAACTTTTGCTAGTTTCCCTTGGTCTTTCATTGTTACTTTTAAATATATTTCTTTTTTTGCTTCCTTTGCTTAGGAATTCAAAATGAGTGTCCAATCAACATTTCCATTTCATATGTGCATATATGACAATCTTAAAATGAGAATGTATCAAGAATTAAGCAAATGAATAGCACAAATCAAAGCTTATAGGATAAATTGAAAGGTGTCTGTTTAGTCCATGGGTGAGGATTGGGAGGAGAATATTAAAAAAACAAGAAAAAGTACCCTCGGAAGCATATCAACGATGCTAAACTATGTTGATAGAAAGAAAAAAAGTTTGCACTGGCAGTTCAACAGAGTAAAAGGTCGCAAGCAAATATGCACCTGTCTCTTACCATCATGTCAGGAAGGGGCATTTTCACCTTTGTGAGCATAATTTCGGTGTTGTTAGCCCTCCTTAGGTCAACCTACCATGAGAGTATGTAGGGTTACAAATGGAAATCAAGCAGAGTGAGAGCTAAGTTCCTAAATCAAACTTCAGAAAGATTCATGAGAAAAAATCTAAGAACATCCAAATATTGATTGCTGACTTGAAAAAAGAAAGGCAGAGAATGTACTTTTTGGTGAAACCAAACAACATAAAGTTGTAGAAGACTACAAACTTTTATGTGTCATCAGAATGTTCTATCGCTGAGGTCTCAGAAGAATTAGAACAAGCAAAAGGTGATTTTCTAGTGATAGAAAAAAATTCTTATTATACCCACCACACAATCTACACATTCTCTTTATCTTCTGCAATATTAGTACTTCTATCAACAACCGAGTCCCACAATTTCAGTTCTTGTCACCATGGAGAATCGGAGATGTGTTTGCAAGCCCTGATATCCTCTTCACAGTCATGATTTCTATTATGCTAATTTGAAAGGTTTTGTGTGTGTGTGTGTATTATACAAAAAGGATATGATTCTATTTTTTCATCACTCTACTATCAAAAGAAAAGCATCGTCATTACCATATTACACATAAGTACATGTGTCATCATTAACTACATAGTCCCTAAGAGTCTGTTCACTTGACAGAAAATGAACTCTTGAGAACTTAAACAGAAATCCAGACTCCCAGGAATTCTGGACAGCAATAATATGACATGGTTGTTTTTCCCATCATTAAATTACTTTGAAAATGTAATATACAATTTAAGGTGATATCAAGCTAACTGAGTTAATACATATGGTTGATTATTAATATTAAAAAGTTCAACAAAGTACAGGACACACTTGCATTTGTAGCGGTTATAGGGTTTTATCAATTCCTATTGACTCACAGTTTATTTGATTACTGAAATTTTAATACTCATATATACACATCGTTCCGTGATAATTAAGATTTCATGAAATTCTGATGTAATTTTTACCTTGACTTGTTAAAATTGTAAATAAGAGAAAACAGTTCCTAAATCAAGAATTGGATTATATTACATTACCAGATGGACTATGTCAGACTTAGATCCAACAGACTTCCGACGCTCTCCTGGCTTGCCTCCTGTGCTGTTGGATTTTGGGACTGTGGCAGAGAAAAGAGTCTCAAGTTCTGACACATCAAATTCTGGTGCACTAAAATTAAAGAGCAAGACATCAGTAATTTACGAGAATCAAGAAGCCGAGAGAGATAGAGAACTCAAATTCAATGCAAAATATGCGCACCTATAAGGATCTTGTATTCTTTTTTCGAAAGAAGTATTTACTCAAAGAGCAAGAAATAACAGACTAATTACTTGAAGGGGAAGCCTCAACTAATTTACTGAATATCATAGGAGTTGAACAGGGAGAATAACCAAAAAAAACAGACAGTCCTGAAATTCTAATTCAGAAAATTAGATTGGAATAGAAAGGGCAGTACATGTGAGGCTCTCCAAGATTCTGCAGTTCTGCCCACAAGCTTCCTTGTAATGCCCTAGTCACTTTGCTCCAATGCAGTGGCTTTAAGGTAGATCTTCGAGGTGCTGTTGCAGTCGACATCCCAGGAAAACGTGAGAGCCCACGTCCTCCCCCAGCCTGTGGCGGCGGCCCTCTCCCAGGTCCTTTCAAACCTAGTGGTGGGGGTGGGGGAGGTGCACCACCTGGAGGTGCAGGAGGGCCTGGTACATGACCTCCAGGAGGGGGTGGTGGAGGGGGTGCACCTCCTGGAGGTGCAGTTGGGCCTGGTACACGACCTCCAGGAGGGGGTGGTGGAGGGGGTGCTCTATGCATGGGTGAAGCGGGCGGTATGCCAACAACTGTAGGAGGTGGTGGCTGTGATGGGGCCCCACGCAAAGAAGGCTGAGCAGGTGATCCAGGGGGAGCTCCATGAGGAGGCGGAGGTGGAGGTGGAGGTGGAGGTGGAGGCGGAGGAGGGGGTGTCCCACGCATTGGAGGTGGGGGAGGAGTTGATGCTCTATTGAGTTGAGGTGGAGGTGGAGGTGTTGGTGCACCACAAGGAGATGCTGCTGGTTGAAAAGGTGGTGGAGATGGTTTGTCATGTGAAGGAAAAGAACGGACTTGATGAAAAGGAGGTGGTGGTGGTGGTGGAGGAGGAGGAGGAGGTAATGGGGAACTCATTACTGCTGAAGGACGACGCATAGAAGTAACAACAGACCAAGGAGGTGGCGGCGGCGGCGTGGGCAACACTCTACTAGTATTCTGCATGCTAGAAGCGTTGGAATGTGGGGTAGAAGGAGGAGGGGGGTGATAAGTTTCCTGTGGAGTTGCTCTTAAGCCTGCAGTTATGGAAGGCAAGGGTGGGGGTGGGGGTGGAGGCGGTGATTTTGTAAAATCTGCACTTTGAGAAGATAACAAAGGTGATGGGGGTAGGAGTGGCAAATTAGAAACAGGCGGAGGAGGAGGCGGAGGCGGAGGCGGAGGTGGTGGGGGTGGTGGTCGTTGAGGTGGGTACAGGGCATGCTCTCCTGCCTGTATAATTGGCGTAGGTGGCGAAGAAGGTAACAATGAGCTAGAAGAGGGAGGAGCTGGATTATGTTCCAGGGCACTACATTTCACTTTCAGTGGTGAAGCCAGAGTTGAGGAAGAAGGCTCTTGAGCTGGTGACGAATCTAATAATGATGGACAAGATGAATGTTTCCCATGACCTGCTGCCTGAGTTCTGTTTGCTGTAACTACAGCTTCCGAAGATGCAGTAACAGATTTTGATTTCCCCCCTGGTGTGGAATCCTTGCCAGGAGTTAGTGCAGCTGGAGCACTATTATGTCTTGACGGTGGATAATATACATGCATTGAATTAGTGTAAGAACCTTTATTAGAAGGAATCCACCTAGATACTGCATTTGGCTTTGCCTGTCTTAGAAGTGTGCCCTGCGATTCTTGCTGTTTCGATTTCTTGGTACCAACTGCATCTGCAGCAGGTTTTGAACCAGAAGTCGATTGTTTCTTTTGGGCTATCTGCTTATTATTATCACCATCTAGCTTTTGTTGAGAAGCTTCCTTTTCTATCCTCTTCATTGAAGGAGGCACTTCTTGACTTTGTTTATTATCCCCTTCTTCAGATTTGCCAGGTGAACCAGCTTTTACAGCTTTGATTTCTGAATCACTTGCTACTTCTGAGATGACTATACTAGAATCTAACTGGAAATGCCCATTGCGCAAAACATCTGCTTTTGACATATTTTTAAATCCATCCATCTTAACATTGTGTTTGTAACTCCCCTCATCCGATGCACAATCTTGAAATGTGTGATGATCCAAATCATCCTTCCAGGCTAGATCATGTTCATTGTCATCATCCTGAGCACTAGCTTGAATTATACTAGTACTAGAATCTGCCTTTCCATCCCGCCCATCAACCACACTACTAAAGATCTCTTCTGCCTCAAAAAATTCATCTGGTGAAGCAGTTTCTGCTTCATTCCCATCTTCACTTACTGCTTCCATGGTGATAATAGATGGACAAGAATCTGCATCCGAAAAAAGTACCTGAAACAGATAGGAGTGTTTTTAACTCCTAAAGCTTGGAAAAAGGAGAGACATAAACATTAGCAAAACAATACCTTACCTCTGCTCTGAATTCCTTTGAAAATTGGTCCTTAGCATCCCAAGGAACATCAATTTCATCACGATTCAGCATTAAAACATTTGACCGAATAAATGATGTATGGAACATAGCCCTAAACATTGTTTCCTCTGTGACTAGATCTTCATCCAAATGGATGCACTCAAGAACAATATCTCCTTGAACAAGGTGATGAATATCTAGTTTCACTAGCTCACACTCTTCCTGCAGTCAGGTCATAAGAGCACTTCAGAATTCAGTTGATTTCTCCTATTTAGCGCTTGTTTAGGAGGCGTTTAAGATATAAACACTTTTGGTCAAACATACTTTTTATTCACGAATATTATCCACTTATGTACTACTCATTTCTACCTGTTTATAATTAAACGGATAATAAACACCTCCCAGACAAGCTTTCAGTCTCAAGTTTAAATATTATGGCATTACCTGTTGATAGAGACGGGTATTTTTTTTCATTTTGGAAGTTGAAAACAAAAGCTTTGAATTTCTACTGGATGTTCTGGACGAAGGGTCCTGACCATAGACGCGAACTACTGGTCGGCATCCTCTTCCACCATCAAATAGAGGAAGAATTCTAAGCATTATACAGTCCAAAGCCAGAGGTGTATCTGATGGAAGCCAATCTGACCCAAATTTTTTTCTGGAAATGTACTGAAGATATCTTAGCTGAGATGGCAGTGGATTCAAGGAAGACAGAAGATAAAGAAGTTCTCTAGGAGCTTGCTTGTATACCATTTCAAGAGTCTTCTGCTCACCCATGTACTGTTTCCTGTATAGAAGAAGGCCAGCAAGCATGAAGGCAAGGACAGCCCATCCTCCCCTTTCACAGTGCATCAAAAGCACATTCTGTTGGCCCTCAAGTGACAACCAGCTCTCACTGGATCGCAAGAAGTGGTTAATCATCTCCAATGGTAACAGCGGACAACCCTCGTATTGCTGAGGGTAATCCATAACCGTCATATCATACTGAGATAATACATCCGATATTTGACTTTTCTTTTCCCCTTCTTTGAAGTTGAAAACCATAAAGGCAGCATCAGGGTAGTGGTCCTGTAGCTGCGCTACAATTCCATTCATGTATGTTCTGTACTCATCTTCATCCAGTACGGCAGTGGAGAAGCAGCAATCAAAAACTGCAAGTAAAAACAAATTAATCCACATAACCATACTGCATATTTCACATTTTTTATTAGTTCCCTATAGTTAACCCATGCAATGCTAAACCAAAAAAAAAAAAGACCATCTACACTGTTTCCAGCACATGCAATTTCAGATGTGAATGGAAAGCAATTGCTAACGTTATCATTTAACTGCAGTATTCGAAGAACACGTGTTTGGGAAATCAGAGAACAAGCATTGACTGGGAAAATTAAGATATTGCACCTAAGAAGATCAGGACATCTATTATTGTAAACTTTATTATATGTAGTTCCAGAATATCCAAAATTAGTGGACATAAGTTGTTGAATATTCCAATATGATACAGATACCAAATTTTGATTCTCCACAAGTTTTTGAGCTTCTAAATGGAACTAAAACTTTTTGACACACGTTACATCATAACGGGCAATGAATTTCTCCATACATGACTTAACTGCATGGTACAAATATAGTAATGAGAAGCAAGTCTTTAACAATCTGAATTGCTGCAATTTCTGCGGAATAAAAATCTTTGGACATAACAGAAAATACAGTAACAATGTCAAATTCCAGCCAGGGAAAACTTCAATGAGAGATGATAATGTTAGTTGAATTGTGCACGATAACGACCCTATATAAAGAGCAAAAAAAATAAGAAAGAACGAAAGAAATTGAGGTAGAATATTCATACTCGAAGATAATTAGCCAGAATTGCCCCTAATTGATCAAAATTTTTATGCTTTTTCACTTTATAGCATCAAAATTCAAAAAATTATAGATGCCTAAGAAATATGAACATGAATGAGCAACAGAGAGTAGGTGTTAGCGTACCATAGACCCTCTCGGAGATCTCAAGAAGCCGATCCGGGGGCTTCCGATAGAAGAAGCGTCTGAACAGCGCCATCTAATGGCGCTGTCACACCCCCGATCGAATCCACAACCCCTTTTCCACTTCAATCTCTCTAAATTTCCCTCAAATTGACCTTACTAACTACCAGATCTCCACAATTCACCAATCACTTCAACAATGCCACAATAATTAACAGCAATATTTCAAAAAAGAACAATCCAATTCAAACAAGTATTATAATCCGAGCTGGGATTTTCACCTTCAATTCAAAAATTGTAAATCTACGTAATTCTAGTTACGTAGTGGACTAAGGAAGGGAGAAAGATAGGAAAATCCTAAAAAGAGAAAGTAGAAGCAGTGACAGTATAGATCAAGGTGAAAAAAGGTGGTCGGAGGTGAGTTTTGGCTTTTGCTAGGAAAATGCAGGAACCTATTAGTTATTATTTTTCATTTATTTATTTATTAGTATAATTATTATTTGATTGTAAAAAATAATGTTAGCTAGCATTAAGACGCATTATGATACGTAGCCTTTGTTGGACAAGAATTAAAATTCAAAATTTAATATAATCAAAATTAAAAATTAATTTTAATCATATATTTTATGAAATTTATAAGAGTTAATTCTTCTAATGGTCATCGATGTTTAAAATGTCGAGTTTTGATCATTGAATTTAGGTCTATATCTTCGATTGCTCACTAAAATTTAAAATGTCGAATTTTGATTATTGAACTTTGAAAAATATTGTACATTACTCAATTCAAACTCGATATTTTTCAAAATTCAACATGTATATTATGAGTGACGTGCGTCACTTTTCAAAGTTCAGCTTTCAAAACTCGACATTTTAAATTTAGGTGATGAATCAAAAATATGGATCTAAATTCAGTTATCAAAATTCGATATTTTAAATTCAATGATCAATCAAAGACATGAGCATAGCTTCAGTGACCATTGAAATAATTAATTCGATTTGTAACTTTTTAACAACATATTTCATCAACTTTTATTAAAATCTACTAAATATCTAATTTTAAATTTTTAATGTCGACTAAACACCAGTATCATGTTGTACTATATTGAATTTTGATGAAAGCTCAGCTCAATAACTATAAATTTTAATTTGACCTATTTTTCGGTAACTGAATTTAAATATTAGCTCACGAATCTATTACAAAAAAAATATTTCATTAAAATTTATACTATAATAGATCTTTCATGTGATCGCTACATGATATGCTAATTTACCATTGCAAAATAATATTATGAATTGTGCTATTTGTACATTACAATTTATATAATGATTTATCAACAGATGATATGACGAAATTTAATTGGATCAAAATCACATTAATCAAGTAACTTTACCACTTTCATTTGATATTTCATCATTATCTAAAATATTACGTACAAGAAACATTTTCCTAATATTATTTGTCAACTGTGATTACAAACAACAATCTATGTGACAAGAATTTTTCTTCGTGTATAGAAGTCGGGTTAACATAAGCTAAGCACCAGTGCTTAGGAAATCGTTCATGTGTGTGTGTGTGTGTGAGTGAGAGAGAGCATATTTCATTCAATTTAGGGATGATGAGTGAGAAATGTGACTACGTACAGAAATTAAAACTAAATTGAAGTTTCGTGATCCAATTGAGACAAATTGAAGTTTAATGGTCAAAGTGAGATTTTGCAAAATTTTCAGTGTCAATGATAAAAATTACCCCTATTGACCTTTGTCAATTCGAGAGTTCATCAAAGTAATTAAAATCAATTTTATGTTGAGTTTAAAAGTCATCATGTCAGGACGGAACTCGCAACCTAGTTCAGCTCAACTAGACTTATCTTCAAAAGGAAGGAAATGTCGCTGTCCTTTGTGAACATCATCATTACACTCTGATTTCATTCACTTCAAGGCTGGCATGATACCATTATCTAGCACAATCACTCTCGGGACACATGGCAAACATTATGTGGCACCTCGAATCGTAACCTCTCAAAATTTCACAATGATTACTTCCCATCTCAGCTCCAACTTGGCACATGGGGGCTGGCATCAACAATCATTCAAAATTAGTTCGGCGGCAAACACATTGAGGCTAGCATTAGAGTTGATTTGATAGAATACAAACCAATTTTCCTATTCTCTACTATAAATGGGGTTATAATGGTCTCCCAACCCCAAAAAAATGGTACGAAACTCATTTCAAACTCTCACCATTTAATACAAAAGCACACTTTTCTTATTGTTTCAGCACAATTTACATATTTCAGCTTAAATTACATCTTTCAAATTATCAATTAGGACGACAAAAGTGGCCTAGTCATTTTTTTATGTCAACGACCCCAATATATACACATATATTAGGAAGCACTATTACATTGTCTAATGAACAAAAATACATATCAACTTCTTGGCAGTAAGGCATTTGTCATGTTGCTATTTAAAAATAAATGCATTTTAACTGAATTGGACGCACAACAGATATCTTATTGTCAGTAAATTGATCGTAATAACTCTAGTTTGGTGGCATTACTTTAAGTATATACATTGAACAAAGTGAGAATCGAGCTAATTTAAGTAGTAGTAGTAGTAGTAGTAGTAGTAGTAATAATAATAATAATAATAATAATAATAATAACTACTTAGTATTTTAAGCTAATAAGCGATTGGTACACTTTTTACTCATAAAATGGTCTAATAATCCAATGGTTCGCTTTTAAAAATTATTTTTAATATTCTTCATTAGATCCAATTAATCCTTGATTTATCTATTTTGGATCAACGTGCAACCATGCTAGAGGGGATATTTGAAACATTGATTCATTTATACAAGCATAAGAGAGCATCTCAGATGGGCTTACGATGGAAAAAGAATGTGTCGTATCATCCAAAAATACTTATATGATAAGAAAAATGAGGAGAATGTTTCATATATGTCTACATGGTATGACCACCCATTGAAAATGATTACAAGTGTCAAATGTGTAATATTTTAATCTGCACTTAATTTCTTTCTCCTATTTTTCTCAAAATCGTCCACTTAAATGACGACGCATGTCTTGATTCTAATAACAAATTTAACTTCTATTTGGTTTGAATAAAAATTGAATTTTTAGTAAATTCTGATAAAATGTGTGATTTAAAATAGATAAAAATTATGAATTTTATAATGTGGTTGAAAATGAATTCGAGAAAAATACGAGTTATAAGAAATGAAGGCCAAACATAGACTTAATTTGGGTTCCCTTAAATGCTCTATTATATGTTATCCAAAATGAAAATATAAATGTAATATAAATGAATTTTAATTGCTCTAATTTCTAATCGTTCTCAGAAACCTCGTAGAATCGAATCGAATCGACTCCCATTTGAGTTTCTTGCCAATCATCTAATATCAACTCAAAGATGTTAAATATTTTGTTTGACCGTCAATTCATTTAATATGACGTAAATATACCAATATGTGAATCTATAAAATAGGTTTAATCTACAAAAATCTTGATGCCATGTAATTGCAATTCCAACCAAACATGCAGCATTTATACAACTTTGTCAAGTAACAAAATAACTTGACATTTGGTTTTAGATAATCAAAATTCCTCACAACCTAAACATGGTATCAAAAAGATTTTACATGCACAAAATAGCAATTTCAAAATTCATGTTTTGCCCACCTGAATAAAATGAACAAACAAATAAATAAAATTTTAAAACAAATTTAACTGTACAAAATTAATAATATATTTTACCCGATTGACAAAATATTCGACATTTCGAATTGATTTGACAATTGACAATCAACTTAAATGGGAGTCGTTTAGAGGACAATTAAAAATTACAGCAATTAACATAAATTTATTTTACATTTGAAACACTTTTAACTTAAAATATATTTATATTTCCACTTTGAAAAGCATATAGGACCGCATTTTAAATTAAATTTATTTACCAGTTTAAGTTTTTAATTAGAATCAAGACAAATTTATCACTTAAGTGGGGATTTTAAAAATAAAAAAAAAAGTAGGAGAGAGAAATATTTATTAAATGGGACTAACTGACACGTGTCAATATTTTTAATGGATGATCGTATCATATAAATATATAGAATCGTCCTATCGAAAAATTTCTCATCTAGCACGCCATCCACTTGTTCTAATTCGACATGTTTGTCTAGCCATGGGTCACGTGGGCACGTGTTGAGAAAGTTTGTTGCAAGCAAGATAGAGAGCTATTCCATTTGAATTGGTTAATACCGATATGGACAAGGGGAGTATATATTTGCTTTAACAAATATAGCATTAATAGTCCTTGACATTTTTCCGAATGAGCATCTGGGTTCTCAATTCATTTTTCTTATCATTTAAGTCCCCAATTAATTTTTTATTGGGTCCGCAACGTTTGTACATCATTGCATTTGAACCTTGTAGATGAATTTTGTAAGAAAACCATTAAAAATTTATATGACACGTATATTTGAATTAAGAGGTAATTATACTTTCGCTTACATTTGAAAATTTTAATACAAAAAGAAATTTAAAATGAAACAAAAAAAAAAGAAAAATGAATTGAGTGTCTTTCTAAGACCCTATAATGGCTGACAAAGAGAAATCAAAGCATGCGAGATTGATTTTGTAAATAAATCTTACCGTTTTCTAATTCCTAAAATCGATGTTTTCATCTTGCATAACCTCATTACATCATATGAATATGAATATTTCTTCTTCATGACTCATGATCCTCTTGTTTACTACAAGTTCTCTAAGACTAAAAGCTCTCAAAACAATGATTGAGTCGTGATTATCAATTATCAATATCGAGTACTTATCTCTCAATCTGGGTTGAAAATTGGTAATCAAATAACAAAACACGACCTAATATATGTTTCAAAGCTGCAAGTAATGCGTTGTTTCTAGAGGAATCTCTAATAGATTCTATTATGTTCTCATTTTTAGCATCTGTTGTTTTAGAAAAATGGATTTGAGTGATTTCTTTAACAAAATTTGAACTTACCAACCTTATCCAAATTGGATTAAGTAACAGCAAGAAATGAGTAATAAAATATCCCAGAAACGCCAACAAATAAAGGACAAAGCAACACCAAGTAAAATGAATGCAAAGTCAAGGCAATAGTTGAACTCTTTGCCCTTAAACCGGTTTTGCCCCGCAACGGTGCCAACAAATAACGACAATCAACTCCCAAGATACGTGTCTTTGTAGCACTCCGAAACACAAGAACAACGAACCAAAAGACAGTTTTTGTACTCCTTGCTTTTGAAATGAAAGACAAAATTCTATGCCTAGCAAAATATGAATTTTCTGTTATGTTATGATTGCATATGATTAAGATATAGTAATGGATGTCCCAAGGGCCTTATTTATAGTAGAGGAAAGAGTGTGAGTGAAGAGATACATCCC